TGGATATTCATTGTTCGATGAGTAAATGATGCACTGAGGTTTATTCCGAAGAAACTTTTTTGAATAGATATTTTATCAAAGATGTTCCCTTTGTTTATGAGCTGTTCTATTTTTGTAACCAACAATAACTGTATGCAAATGATTCATATACTGGAATAGAGTTATTATTAGATTGATTCATTTTTCCGAGGATTTGTTTCCTCATAATGACGGCATCAAGTTTGCCTCAGAGTTAATAATATACATGAGCGAACAGCTTGTTGCTGGTATTCGTTTATCATGCGATTGGTAATTAGGTCACAAAATTTAGTTTCATTGCATGTATCGCCTACACATTGAATAGGATACTTGTTAAGAACATTTAGTTTCTGGTTGATTTTCAATCAGATAATACTTGCAACTGTTTACTTCAAAGTAAGGATTAAATTTGAACACATATGTTGTTGTGGCAATTCATACAATATGCAGTCAATGATTTAGCATTATGTTAAACATAGATTGTTGAGTTTGCAATGAATGAGAACACATTTTTCTTGACTAACGCCTTAAAAATTGTATTCGACATTCATTAAGTGATTTCGAACATTAAGCGCTTTTATTTTATCTTTTTGTATACCTCTATAGAACTCGCTATTATCATAAATTTTAGTTATTATCTGAAAATAGTCTAAGCTCAAAGAGAGTTGGGTGTGGGTGTGGGTGGGTGTCAGTGTGAATGTGGGTGTGGGTGTGGATGGAGTGTCCGTGTGGGGTGTCCCTGTGGGTGTGGATGTTTCTCCAACTCACACCCACATCCACAGGGAAAGGAACTTTTCGTCTCACTTTTTCATTACAAGCGCCGGTTGAAATAGCCCGTTACGATCTCCGGACATTAAAAAAAAGACAGGGTGTTCGAAATGAAATTTGCCCTGGAGTTCGTGACGAACTCTGACAACCCATTGTTAGCGGTTGAACAGAGAAATTTTGATTGGAGATTGGAATGAGAAAGTCCGGAAGTTTGTAATGACAAAAACAGTGTTCAGAATGAAAACGGCAGGATGTTCGTAGCAATGTTGAGACTTACTCATCTTTGAGAGATTATGAAGTGACACGCTTGTCTTACAGTCATTCTTGCCTATAAAAACAGAAGAAAAAATCTTTATAGCCGTTACGATCTCCCAGTAAATCCCTTTACGAACTTTCTGCCAATATCATTCCACTCTTCCGGTCTTTTTCTGTAAAAGTACCGCTAGCCATACATTTCGAACACCTGGTCAAACCATTCCGATTTCTCTGCTTTTCTATTACGATCTCCTGTAGAAAAATGTTTACGAACTCCAGTCATACATCTTTAAGGACAAAAATTCATTTCCGAACACCCGGACACATGTTCAGAGTTCGGAATGACTTGAGACGAAAAGTACGTCACCCCAACCACCCCTCAGCCTTCTTGTTTCTTAATGTTTTATATCCCATTTTGTAGCGCGTTAAATTCTCTATCGAATGGTATATAATAGCTGACGTTTTTTTTATTTTGAGAGAAAAAACTTTTTTACGAAAATCGGAATAGGTCAATTTTCGCATAGGAAAGCACAGGAAATAATGACATTTTTTGCGATCACTCAGCAATTTCTTCACAAATCATTCTCATCTTCGAACTCGACCAAGATATCAATGAGATAATTATATGTACAAAGTTTCATGACAATCGGTTCATATTCTTAAGAGTTATCGTGTAAACAGCTGGACGGACACGCACTGACCAATTCTATAGTGTACTCATTTTTTGACTACACAATAACTATCATTTCACTCCACTTGTGAAGATATCGAAAGCGCCTTTCATAACAACATTACTGCTTGTCTCAAAGTCTTTTTTTCTTTACTGTGCAGGGTCCATTGAACCTCTAATAAAAATTAAACGCACAAAATATCCTTATTCCATTCTTTGTGGCCATTAAGGTATAAAATATTCTATTTGCAAACAAAGAACATCTCATTCGAGAAAATCTGGGAACATTGACAACTTCAAAAGAATTCCTCATTTATCAATCGAGTTTTCTTTAGTTTTTTTTGTATCTATCAACAGCAGAAGGTTAATAAGTTAAAGAAAGCGATTGATGTTGTTAATTGATTAGTAACTCTTATCTCTTTCTGTTGTTTGTTTTTCAAATCTTCTTAAAATATCGCTCGAATGAAATTCAATAATACGAAACTAGAAAAGATTTTTTAATATTTCTGGTTCTTTGAACATCACATTTTGATATTCTTTAAATATTGGTACCATTCTGCTACCATTTCATATTAGATCTCATCAAAACTGAGCAAAACGTAGATTGTTACCTATGATTATTGATTTTTAATTCGAGTGTCTTCGAGTTCAACATCAACACACTCAATATCATTATACTGCAGAGCCTTATTGAATTCTAAATAATAAATTTTATTGATCAAATAAATTCTCGACAGGATGTGGATGGATGTGGGTGACAAGAAGATCAACACCCACATCCCACACCCACACCACATCCATACCCCACCGTTTGATAAAACAATCTTGTGCCCACTTTGACATAATGATTATTTGTTATATTATATTATTGACCTGATGGTAAAGAAGAAGATGTTTGACGAAGATATTGTTTTTTTTTTCATTATTTTCTTTTGTTTTAACTATTTTTTGCTGGTGGTGAAGTATTGAATGACGTAAAGATTGACTATTAGTTGCTTTTGGTAAATCAGGTGGGCATCGAAGCACATGAGACATTTTTACCCGACGTAATGTTGGGTGTGGATGTATTGAAGATAGTACCCACACAACACCCACAATGCCGTAGTTCATTCTCAAAATGGTGTGCATCAGTGACGATAGGTGTGATTAAAAAAAGAAAAAATGTTATTATTCACATGTTTTGAAATTTAGGAAGTACTGGTGACAATATATACCGAGAACATTTTTTTAAAAATTATTAGCAAACAATACTTGTGACGCATAAGGAAATCTTTTTTTAAGGGTTGTTATGTTTACTATACACAACGGGCTCAGTTATATCAAAATCCAAAGCTTTCGATTCAGCAACTATATTTGAACTATATAGTGAACGATTGCTTCGTCTTCGTATTGAGTCTTTAATTCGTTTAACAGATTGTCTAACGTTTTCATAGAATAGAGTTTCATAAGAAGCAAAAGCTTCGTAAATATGCTTCACTTTAGAATAGTAGTTGAGGGCATAGTATAACTCGTTCATTTGCTCATAAACAGAACCCACCATATTAAAATGTCGAGCCGTATTGTTATGATCATACCAGAAATATTTTTCATAATTTTCGAAATTTCTTTAAGATATTTTAGTGAATTGTTCATATCACCGATACACTTGTATGTAGATGCTATTTTTTCCAGATGTTTAATGAGAGTCTGATAGTTAGTAGGCTCAAATTTTCTTTGCATTTCCAATGCTTCCAAATGATACTCTAACGCTTTCTCATACTCATCATCATACACTAATGCAACATTATCGAGTAACCAAATGAGATTGTGCTGCAAAGAAGCAGATGTGTATCTTGCAATTTTCAATAATTCCAAATAATATTCAAGTGCTTTCTGTGAATCGCCCTTCTTATAATACATGCGGCCCAGAGCACGAAGATTCCAACCGATAATATAATTAGTGGATGGTAAGTATTTCTTTCGTAATTCCAACGCCATAAGATGATATGAAAGAGCTTTATCATACTTATGTTGATAAGAATACATTGTAGCAATATCTGTATAACTGAAGGCATTAATAACATCATCCGTTAATAAAGACTTTTTTTCTTATTTTTATCGCTTCCAAAAAGTGTTTCATAGCTTTATCAAAATGTTTCTGATGTGAAAAAATTCGTCCGATACTACAATGATATGAAGCAACAAAGTCGGCATCAGAATCTCCGATACTCTCTGGAATTTCCAAGGGACGTTGGTGAAAACTTAGCGCTTCATTTAATTTGTTTTGTTTGCCATAGATGAGACCTTGATTATAAAGTATAAAAGCAGCGTATCTGCGTTCTGATTGTTCGGAATTATTAGTCAACTCAAATGCCTTTTGAAAATGTTCTAATGCAGCTTCGTATTTCTTCTCATATTTAAGAGCAATACCAGTGCGATTATGAATATGAGCAAGACTTTCATCACCAGGATTCTTCAGAAGGTGTTTAAGAAATTTCAGAGATTTTTCAAATTTGCCCATTGTTTTCAGAAGATTACACAGCATTATTTTTGGACTCTCATCTTTCATCTGTCGTTGATTCACTTCCATATAGTTTGCTGTAATTTCTTGTCCTTCTTGAGTTGTCTTTATCACAACTAATAATATATCATTATCTTCTAGTTTTTCTTCCTTAACTATTTCTATTTTAAAGACTGTGCCAACATCAAACAATACTTCTTGCTTTTCCGGAAAATTACTAAAAAGCGGATATATCAGCAAAGATAACAAGATTATTCGAATCCTGTACATCGCATTCAATTTCGAATAATACAGGAATCATATCAGATCGATTGTATGATCTCTTGGCGAATGTGAGCGCATACGAACGATTACGACTTGTAGACCAATAACAATTCGTTGCAATCAGTTTACCTTGATTGGTTTTCAATGTTTCTGCTGTTTTGATCGTAATTGTTGTACCACGATATAGATGAATACTTTTCTCTGATCCACTTTTGATCTTTTTGCATTCCTCAGAAAGTTGACTAGATAAATCAATAATAAAATAACGAAATATACAAAGTTGTTCGATATCTTCTGTTTGTAAAATTTTATTGATGATCTTGTACAGAAAGGTTTCTCTTGTATACCAATAGAAGCAATCGTCCTTGTGATAATTCTCTTCAAACTCATCGATTTGCTTCAATACTCGATGATTACCTCGATAGTATTGCCTGCAAGCATTCAACATTTCTTTTTTGGCTTGCTCATCGTGAGACAAAGAAACAAGAACATTTTTCATCAATTGAAACCTATGGAAGAAATCGACTATGTAGTAAAATCAGTCAAATAAGCATACCAAAGAAATGCAGCTGATTTCTCGGATAAATCCCGAATAGAATATTGATTTTCATAGAAAAAAGAGACCATTTCCATTTGTTTGTTTAAGCGCTTAATATTTTCTTTAATTGATTTCATTAATTCAACACGATTATCATAAATTCCAACAATTTTGTAGAATTCATCAAATAAACGCATATATTCTTCTCGGTTTTCTGGATAAATATATACTGAATCTAACTGAGAAAGACTCATAATTGTTGGAAGCAGTTTATATGCATTGTTAGCAGCAATTATGAGAAAACGTTTCTCTTCATTGATAGATTTTACATAGTCGATACATGCATTGATATCCATAAAAATGAGCACAAAGTTGTTGACGGTTTGAAATTCTTCCGTCGCTTTTTCAATTTCATTCCTTGCATTGATAGTAGAATCGAAATATATCAGTGTCACGTTTTCTGTGTTTTCTAGAATAGGCTGTTGAATATCATCTGACAGTACTTCTTCCATTAGTTGCAGTTGTTAGTGAAAAAAGTGATCTCAGCTATCTACCGTTGGTTCATCTAAAGAACGAACAAAAGCCATGTAAATAGTACTATAGAGATTAAATAAAAGTATTATATACATAGTTACCGCTCGCTAATTGACCAACGATGACTGGATTCGACAGTTTACGGGAAATATGCTAGATTTAAATTAGAGTTGAAGAAAAAAAAACAATAAATAGAAAATGAAGAGAACAAATTTGTAATCCTATATTATTGTGATTTTTACAGATATATAATTTCTTTTGTTTTCATTTTATTTGGAAATATACATGATTATTTATCATCGATTGGAGTAGTATATTACTCTAAAGTAGAGTTTCGTGGGACTAGAAGAATGAATGCTTGAATCTAGTGAAATTATAATGTTTTTTATTAGATTTTAATCTTATATTCCAATGTATTAATAAAAAAATAAAACGAAGCGATCTTCTTGTGAAAATATGTCGATATATAATGTCTAAAAGAGTTGGATTATCTCCAGATTTCTTTCGATAGAGATTTTGTCATTTTAACGTTTTAATTACTACATCAAAACAATTATTATGACTTTTTTCAAACAAAAAAACGACCTCATATGTTGAGAAGAAATGATTCGTACCAAATTTGATCAATAATTAGTAGTCGATTATGTTTCGTTTTTAGAAAAGAAAAACCGAAAATGTGTCTGTCAAATAGATGAATAAGTAAAAAATTTTTTATATCATGCACGTAACGAATCTTACCTTGTGTTGATAACGCATGAAAAGAGAAGAGCAAACGCAATTGCTTAAGTCCTCTTACAGTAAAGAAGCAAGTGCAAATCATTAGGTATTAGGTATAAAAATATTTATGAAAATAGTTTTCATCTTGCGTTTCATGACACTTGCACAGAGTACTGATTTAAGAGGCTGTCGCAATTAGTGTAGTGAATATGTAGCATACTTTGACAATCGTGCAAGATGAAATTCAACGGATGAATTTAGAATATGTGTAATTTATTTGAAAAATTTAAATAAAGAAATCATCAACAATCAGATCTATCTATTAAAATTTTACTCCTAAAAAAAGTAGTAAAGAGAAGAAAAATAACTTATTCAGAGGACTATGAATGTGTCGCGATTACGTTTGACTGAATGTAGTAATTGACAACGAATAGCATAACGTTATGCACATTATATGAAATTAGAATATACTGCCAATAGTTTAGTCAAAAAGAATATCCACTGTAAGAGTGCGCGTACTAGTTTGATTGTTACTCTCCATTTATAGACATCCACATCCACCCTATTTCGAATATTGTATATCATTCATTCAGGGAGCTAAAAAAGGCAGAAATCGTAAAAGATTTCTACTTTTTCACGTTCTTTTTCTCTTTCAAGATAGAATGAGTTATTCCATTCAATGCAAGATAAAGTCACAATGTTTGCTAAGTGAAAATTTTCATCAACGAAAATCGTTGAAAAATAGTGAAGATCTTTTTTCTTGAGGCTGTTCGTCTCAAACTTGACAATAAATTAGACTTTTGGTATCAATTTAAAATATTTCCCTTAATTTTTTTAGCATTTTGTAGGAACTCAAAAGTTACAAAATACATACAAAATTCACTCTGGAATATTATGATTTCAATAAATGACAGTAGATATACTTAGGAAAATAAAATTTCAATAACTAGTAATCTATTATCATTTCCGCTTTTTTTTAGTTCACTCAATGACTCATATACAATATTCGAAATAACTTGTTTTTTTTTTCATCTACATATTCTCTATTGTTTCGTATATTGCGTGAAAGTGATCTCACTTTCGATGCAAGAATTTTACTAAAAATTCAGAAAAAAGGTAATAATTTTTTTGTTCATAACGGGGTGAGGGTGCTAAAAGTCGATCAGGACTAACTTCACTATGACAAATCAAACTGAACTAAAAATTTTAGCTCAGTTGTTTTAGACCCTGTACTTTCTGATGTAGATAAAAAAAATCAACAATTTACATTTTAACGAATGCTTCTTTTGCTGAGGTCTATTCACGATCATAAATCTCTTACAATTACTTCGATATTGAAAAGTTCGTGATTTTTTTCTTCAGACATATGTTATTGTCAATAACTAATTAGTTTTGACTGTCAACTGTCAACTGTAAACTTATGATTTGTCTAATAATGTTAAAAGTTAAACATACTTACATGGTGAGTGATACTAGAGTGTCTGGTTATGTTTTGCGTTTCTATCGGTTTTTACTTGTTAGTTATATTTAATAAAATCAACTGAGCTTTATCCAACATTTATTTGTTTACAGGTGTCACTCTTGTATGACTATTTCATCAAATTGACATTTATTTTTTATCAATGTGACTTTATCACGTATTTTTCGTTCTTATGATGTTTTTTACTATTGCTTTCTTTTTCGTTTAATGTGGCTACTATTAGAAAATAGACCAGTCAAAAGAAGAATGGGAAAATGGTCATTAAGATGCATTATTATTCGTTGACACACCATTTTGACCATTGATATGCATTTTAATCAAGTGAATAATAGGAGAATAGCCATTAAAATGCATTTTGGTCGGCAAATGAATAATTTTTTTCAGTATACTGACTATTTTTACTAAAAATTTTGCGCTCAACTTCATACAAAACGCTTCAAGAAAATACTATGTTTTTATCACCTGCAACCATTAGATGTAAGTGTAGCGAACCTGAGATGTGTCCAACCTTGAGAATTTGTAAAGTTTAGAAGGGTGTGGGTGTGGGTGTGAGTCTTCTCTACATCCACACCCTACTTTAACTTTAAAATTTAAAGCAGATACTTTAAACTTTAATTACTTTAGTAAAGTGTTTTCAACGTTAAAGTGCTTCCCGTAGTCATGAGTGGTTTCATATCGTTATTTGCATTCGACATTATACACGCATATAGATAGGGGTGACAAAAAACTTTATTCACAAAACTCTTGCTGAATTCGATCATTGTTGACCAAGAAAGATCTCAAGCGTCGCTAGTTGCGACGGATTCTCTTCGGCAAGTGCGCGCTTTTTAATCATCTTTTTTTTCAATTTCCTCTCGACTGATCTTTTTGTTGGCCTACTTTCTTTATCTTTCTACTCTCGCTCTGCTGTCTTATTGTGCTTCCGCAGCGCTCATCACCATGGAGACTGAATGACGTGGGGTGACAAGACTAACAATAGTAGACCTCTTGGAAAGAGTCTTCAGCATCTATTCTTTCTTCTTGGTGAACAGTTCGATCACAAAGCAAATAAAGCCGACACTTTCTTGCTCTACAATTTAAATCTTGTCATCGAGAAAGTGGAAGTTTTATTTTTTCCTGAGTTCATTGAGACAAGTTGTTGCAATAGTGAGCAAGTGAAAAACATTGGTTATGTAAAGGAAAGCGCTCACACTTCTGATCTCCTTTGATCTTCAGCAGTTCAACTTTGTGAGGATCTAACAGATAGTGAACAAGAATGTGAAACTGATGATAGCGGTAGGCCGAAGAGTCATCGAACATGATGAATGTATTCAGAGTGGTTTCTTTATGCGTAGGCATTATGCGAGAAGATGAGGAAAACAATATAGAGAAAGCAACGTGTCATATAAACGAAGGAGATGGCATCAATTAATAGCTGTTGACTTAATCTTCGTTTGCTCATTCTTTTTTCATTCATTTTTGCTCAAGAAAATAGCAACAAGTATTCCATCACAATTGAATTCCCCTATCGTTGCATATTCTCACAGCTTTCGATGGATTTCAAGGTATTTTGAATATTAAAATCCGTTTTTCTCTCTTGGGTTATGTACGCTGAATATTTGCATGCGCCTTTTTCTTTTTGGATAAAATTGAGGAATGAAATGAAAAGGAGATTTTTCAAGTCTCATTACAGAGCTGTTTGTTTCCTTTTCGGTTTTTGCGTGATATCGTACTTCTTATGATCAGATAAGAAATTATGTTTTCATTTTTCTAACAATTCTGTCTTACAATATGCTAGTATTACTGTTTTTTTTCTCGTTGTAGATACCAACATGAACATCGTTCTTTTCTGTCACATGATTATAACTTGCTATTGTTTTTTACTTTGATCATTTTCTTTTCATTTTAATGATATTCTAAATTAATAACTGGATGTAACATATTACTCTTTCTTCTTCGCGTTTCCAGTTTTTCCATCAACACACATATCATCTTGTTTTACATATAATCCTTTGTTAAAAGAAAGAGAGAGAATATGAGATTAATCTGCAGATAAACAGCATAGGCGGCGGAACGAAGTCAGTGTAGGGTCGGCTCAAAAAAAAATTTCCAAGCGGTGTAGGTAGGGAAAAAGAAAAAAATTCTTTAGGCTTTTGCACAAGAAAACGTAGAAAAAAAATCGAAACAATAATCAAATAATATTATCAGTACTTTTCGATAAAAACTGTAAGTCTTCCCGTTTGTCTTATTCTGAGGTATTAGAGAAGTTTTTTCTTAGTTTACGTAGACAGTTACAATAACTTGGGCAGGTCATCTAGACAGACACAACAATGTTTAAAAAGGCGTTTAAACATCTCAATATCTAAATCGTTAAAAATGTTGTATTAGTCGTCAAAAACGCGTTAAAACTGTTTAAGAATAATTATTTTTTCAATGCGTTTTTGGCGACTCATCAAACATTTTTAATGATGTTGATGTTTTTGTTGAAAATGTCTGATAATAGTTAATAAAATTTTCGTTTAAACAATGAATCGACCAAACTGTGGGATGCTCCAAGAGCCAGTACCCGAATTTTTTTTCCTATAATTTTGCTATTCATTGATCTTTATTAGTTGATATTTCCCGCATGATAGATGACATCACCAAAGTTTTATTTCGATAAACAACTATAAAAGTTCTTTATAGTAATTACCATCAGTCGAGTTGTAATAATTCAGCCGTTATTTCTAATTTCATAATGATATTTCGCAGCGTTTTTCTTTATTACTTCGTTTTTAAATTTATTCATATTTTTAATTTGTTCAAATCTCAAAAACTCGCTTCATAGAAATCAGTTTTTATGTGTTCCTACATAAAGAGATCGAATAATGTAAAATCGTAGTAGTTAAAAAAGAATCGCTGCAAAGTATTAATCTGACACAGGAAACAATTACTGAATTATTGCAACTCGACTAATGATAATTAGTTTAAAGAACACTTTCGCAGACTGTCTATCGAAATAAAACCATGATGATGTCAGCTATTGTACGAAAAATTAGCTGAGAAAGATCAATAAATAATGAAGTTATAAGAAAAAAATTTTGAGTACCGACTCTGGGACACCTTGTAAATGCTTGATGTCGATTCTTGAAAAACAGTTACTCAAAGAAAACTTGTCGTGATTCTTAAGACAATATTGCTTTCTCAAATAATATAGCTTTTTTTCTAAATAATCTCTCGAAAACAAAAATCTAACTTGATGTATTTTACTTTTTTTTGCTGTAAATAATCTACGCTATTGAAAATATCAATATTAATTTCTTTTTTCTGAGATATTAGATTCTTGAGTTCTCAAATTTCGCAATATGCACAGACATACTAGTAAAGTAATGAAATATTCTGTAGTTAAAAGATTCTATCTATATTCGTCGTGTAATGAGAAGCTCAATTATTGCATTTAAAATAACTGACTAGTTGGATTGTTCGGTGAAAATATCTTTAAATATTACGATTAACGCAAGGATGGTCAAACCTAACGAGTGACTGCTAATTATTTCACAAATTTCTAATAAAAACGACGATATTCTTTGTGAAGCGAGACATCTTGCAAGCTGCGAGCTTATTCTAGAAATNAAAAGCTTCATGACATTGAAATATCCCTAGTAAAAGTTGTATGTAAAAGCTTAGAAACATTTCGGAAATATGTTGTTAGCAAAATTATAATTACGTAGACTATCCCAAGAAAGACAAAATATAAATAAGAAATAACATGCAAAATCACAAAAAGAAAAATATTGAATATGGTATATAACATGGCAGATATTTCTCATTAAAAGTCTTCTCGCTTTATCAAGTACAAATATTTCCTAAGGTTTTAACAAAACAATGCATAACAAAAAAAAGAAGCGTTGGCATAGAAAACTATTTCATTGGAAACAGTGTATTAACTTTACGAATTTTGTTTAAAAAAGTGAGTCTTGTACAGTATAAATTCCTATCACTTCGATTGCTAGTATCTGTCTAATTCAATTAGATTAGAATTATAATGATTACTATTCTATAAGGTATTGCACGATTGTGTGAATATGTACAATGAGGTCGACGATATCATTATTCACCCAATTTATCATGATTGTTTACAATGACATATACATCAGATTAATAACGAAATAGACTATTCCATTCTCTTGTTTTCGTTACAATAACTATTCTTCTTCTTTGTTCTTATTGATTCATGTTCAACTTCTACTTCTTTCGTAAAACTCTGTTTCTCCCAAGTGTGTGATGAAATTATCTAAATGTTACTTCATAATATTATACTGTATAAAAATGGAATACAAGAACCATAATATAACTTCGTTCAACGTTGCCTATCGTTTTCTTTTTCTTCTTTTGACTTGCTCTTTCTTCATTGTATATTGTCAATCATTGTTGCTGATCTAGATAAGAATATTTTTTGTTGGAAGACAAACCTACATGTCAACATTTTTAGTATTATAAAAACAACGAACAACATTAGATAATAGTATCTGCTTTGTCTATTCTACAAAGGCGTGGATATGTAATGAGTATGAAAAAGATCAATATACTCAATGTCAAAATAGGTGGAGCTGCGATTATTAATGCAATGTGAAAGATAATGCTGATAAAACACAAAAATTCTAATTATTGGTGGATGAACAGCAATGGTAGATGCTAGTATTAGTTTGACTTGTAGTGCTGCTTAAAAAAGCAATTAAACATGAGAGAATAAATGCCAGAATTTTTACTGCTGATTTTGATGCTATGCATGAAACAATAGCTATCAATGTTATTAAACCAGGTGCGAAAGAAGTGCCAAAAGCAATAGAAAAAGTTAAAAACGGCATAGATTGCTAGTACAGCTATCTTGAGGGTGTGGGTGCTGTGAAAGAAAAGAATTCACACACCCACACCCACACCAACACCCTGAAAACTCTTGTTTCGGCACCTCACCTCTGAGACTAGTTGATTGCTGAGGAATTTCATTATTAGAATCTTGTGAAAGAATTCAAAATGTAGTTGAGAAATCGGAGAAAAGTCGATCGAAATTAGCAAAGAATTTTTCAATTGGGGAAAATAAACCATTGAATGGAAAATCATCATCATCATCAGTATTATCTTCCACTTTAGTCTTTAGAATGAAAATTTATTTCTGTTTGTTCATTTTTATTTTTATTTAAATATGAAGAAATCTATAAAAGTATATCTTTAGATATTTCATTATCTTTTAGTCCTATTGATGAATTAATTATATAGTGTAATGTCGGCATAGCTAGATCATTATTAGTGAATATATACATATCGATGTTGCTCACAGGGTGTGGATGTACTTCTTCAACTCATCCATACCAACACGTTCACACCCACACTCTCTCCTGCTGCCATTCATCCGTTTGACGCTCTACAACATTTCATCCACGGAACAATAAATGTACTAATATGAACTGAATTCTTTTTTCTTTGTTTCATCGGTTACAAGTTTATTACAAAAGACAATCTTCGAGCCATTTTCCATTATAATCATTTTTTTTTGTTTGAATCACTTTCGCAAATAAATACAAACATCTCATGCACAAAACCAACTTACAAAAAAAATTGCAAAATTATCCAACTACAATCCTTCTGCCAAATTTCACTTAACCTGCATCTAGATTTAGACTTATTTCTACGTGAATGTTTGTTCGATAATAATTTTCTTCTCAATTATGATGACCATTCCATCCGCTCAAAATGAATAGTAGATCTATGTTGTCGACTATGAATCATCACTGAATCTTATTATCTCAAAGAAGACACTGTCAAATAATTCCTTGATTGTATCTGTCTCGCGCTATCACTCTAAGTCTTTCTCTCTCTCGGTCTTGCTCTATGCTTTTGTCTTTTTCTCTCTGTCGAATACTTTCTCTGTACACACACCTAATACTGATATAAAAGGATGTGTGTGTGTGTGTGAGGGTGTGAATCTGAGGAGGACTAATACCACATCCACACCCAAATCGCCCCATCTTCATCGAATCCCTCCCTATCAAAAAATTCTAGATCTGCCGCTGCAAGAAAACAATATAGATATTATTAAAATAAATATTAACTGCAGCCAAAATGTATTTAAGGTAGAAGTACCCAGTACAATTGTTAAGTACGCAGTATTTATACTTGTACTGATCAAATGACTGTACGCATAAGCTAATCATGTGATAATAGTCAAACCTTAAAATTTCTTATCAATACGAAATTGTCACATACAACAAACTCTTCTTATAAAAATGTTGATACAATTATATTAGGATCTCTATTACATCATAATAATGAGATATTACCGTTTTTAAATGTGCCTGTCAACTGCAACAATATTCATTATGTAGGATCTTTGTCCGTGCGATAGTTATTGAAACATGAAATGTTTTATCAATGTATTGAAAGAATGTTCAATTTTATCCTAATCGTTTTACAACAATGACGAAATTCATTCTCAGAATGATGTGCATTAGTGATGGTAGATGTGAATAAGGAAGAAAAAGATGTTATTATTCACATGTTTCGAAATTTAGCAGGTACTGGTGACAATATATATCGAGAACATTTTTTTAAAATTATTAACAAACAATGCTTGAGATGTATACAGAAATCTTTATTTTTGAGTGTCTTTATGTTAACTATATACAACGGGATCATTCTTTATCAGAATTCAAAGCTTTCGATTCACCAACTATATTTGAGCTACATAGTGAACGATTGCTTCGTCTTCGTATTGAGTCTTTAACTCGTTTAATAGATTGTTTAATATTTTCATAGAATAGAGTATTATAAGAACAAAGCTCTTCGTAAATATGCTTCGCTTTAGAATAGTAGTTGAGGGCATAATATAACTCGTTCATTTGCTCATAAACAGAAGCCATCGTATTAAAATGTTGCGCCATATTGTTACGATCGTACGAGAGATACTTTTCATATATTGTCGAAATTTCTTTAAAGTATTTCAGTGAATTGTACATATCACCGATACACTTGTACGTAGATGCTATTTTTTCCAGATGTTTAATGAGAGTCCGATAGTTAGTAGGCTCAAATTTTCTTTGCATTTCCAATGCTTGTAAATGATACTCTAACGCTTTCTCATACCCACTACCATAAACTAAAGCAATATTATCGAGTAACCGGATGAGATTGTGTTGCCAAGAAGGGAATGTATAACTTCTTGCAATTTTCAATGATTCTAAATAATATTCAAGTGCTTTCTGTGAATCACCCTTCTTGTAATACATGCGGGCCACTTCCTCAAGACTCCAACCAAGATTATAGTTATTGGATGGTAAATATTTCTTTCGTAATTCCAACGCCATAAGATGATATGAAAGAGCTTCATCATATTTATGTTGACGAGCATACATTGTAGCAATATTTGCAAAATTGAAAGCATTATAAACATGATCAGTTGATAAAGACATTTCACTTATTTTTATCGCTTCCATAAAGTATTTCATAGCTTTATCAAAATCTTTCTGACGTGAGAAAATTCGTCCGATACTACCATAGTATGAAGCAACAAAATGGGAATTAGTACTTCCTATACTCTCTACAATTTCCATGGCACGTTGTTGAAAACGTAACGCTTCATTTAATTTGTTTTGTTTGGCATAGACTAGACCTTGATTATGAAGTATAAAAGCAGAGTATTTGCGTTGTGGTGGTTCGGAATTATAAGCCAACTCAAATGCAGTTTGAAAATGTTCTAATGCAGCTTCGTATTTCTTCTCATCTTTGAGAGCAATACCAATTCGATTATGAATATGAGCCAGATTTTCATCACCAGGATTCCTTTGAAGTTGTTTAAGAAATTTCAGAGATTTTTCAAATTTACCTATTTTTTTCAAAAGATTACAAAGCATTATTTTTGGACTTTCCTCTTGCATTTCTCGTCGATTCACTTCCATATAGTTTGCTGTAATGTCTTGTCCTTCTCCAGTTGTCTTTATCACAACTAATAGTATATCATTATCTTCTAGTTTTTCTTCCTTAACTATTTCTATTTTAAAGACTGTACCAACATCAAACAGTACTTCTTGCTCTTCCGGAAAATTACTAAAAGCGGATATATCAGCAAAGATAGCAACATTATTCGGATCCTCTACATCGCATTCAATTTTGAATAATACAGGAATCACATCAGGTCGATTATGTGATCTCTTGGCGAATGTAAGCGCATACGACCGATCTCGACTGGTAGACCAATAACAATTCGTTGCAATCAGTTTACCCTGATTGACTTTGAATGTTTCTGCTGTTTCAGTTGTAATTGTTGTACCACGATATAGATGAATACTTTTCTCTGATCCACTTTTGATCTTCTCGCATTCCTTAGAAAGTTGACTGGATAAATCAATAATGTAATAACGAAATATAAAAAGTTGTTCGATATCTTCTGTTCGTAAAATCTTATTGATGATCTTGTACAGAAAGGTTTCTCTTGTATACCACTGGAAGCAATCGTCCTTGTGATAATTCTCTTCAAACTCATCGATTTGCTTCAATACTTGAAGATTACCTCGATAGTATTGCCTGCAAGAATCCAACATTTCTTTTTTGGCTTGCTCATCATGAGACAAAGAAATAAGAACATCTTTTATCAATTGAAACCTACAGAAGAAATTGATTGTGTAGTAAAATCAGTCAAATAAACATACCAAAGAAATTCTGCTGATTTCTCGGATAAATTCCGAATACAATATTGATTTTCACCGAAGAAAGAGACCATTTCCATTTGTTTGTTTACGCGCTTAATATTATCTTTAATTGACTTCATTAATTCAACACGATTATCATAAATTCCAACAATTTTGTAGAATTCATCAAATAAACGAACATATTCTTCTCGCTTATCTGGATAAATATATACTGAGTCTAACTGAGAAAGACTCATAATAGTTGGAAGTAGTTTATATGCATTGTTAGCACTGATAATGAGAAAAATTTTTTCTTCATTGATAGATTTTATACAGTCGATACATGTATTGATATCCATAAAACTGAGAACAAAGTTGTTGACGGTCTGAAATTCTTCCGTTGCTTTTTCAATGTCATCCCTTGACTTGATGGTAGAATCGAAATATATCAGTGTCACGTTTTCTGTGTTTCCTAAGATAGGCTCTTGAATATTATTTGGCAGTACTTCTTCCATTAGTTGTAGTTATTAGTTAAAGAAGTGATTTAATTCTAGCTATCGTTGATTTATCTAAAGAATGAACAACAGCCGTGTGAATAGTACTATAGCGATTAAATACAAGTATTATATATACATAGGTATCGCTTGCCAATTGGCTAAAGATGATTAGATTCGAAAAATTACGGAAAATATGCTAAATTTAAATTAGAGTTGAAGAAAAAAACCAATAAATAGAAAATAAAAAGAACAAATTTGTAAACCTGTATTATTGTGATTTTTACGAATATATAATTTGTTTTGCTTTCATTTTATTTGAGAATATAAATGATTATTCATCATCGATTGTACTAATATATTACTATAAAATATGGTTTCATAGAACCAGAAGAATGAATGTTTGAATCTAATGAAATAATAACTGTTTTATTAGAGTTTAATCTTATATTGTAATGTATTAGTATAAAACTAAAAAGAAGCAATCTTCTTGTGAAAATATGTCGACAGGTAATGCGTGAAACAGTTAGATTATTTTCAGATTTTGGTCGAAAGAGACTCTGCCATTTTAATGTTTTAATTAACGGGTGCACCAGGTTGAATGACCGCATTTTGCATTCCAATTTTCATTCACTTAATATATTGTATTACAAAACAAAATATATCACAGGATGCAGCGTGAAAAGCTCTACAATTTTCCTAAGACCGCTTTTTTTCTAGCTGCACTTTTTGCTTTCAAAATAGTCAAAATTTGAAGGGTCAAATTTGAATTGTGCGAAAACGATATTTTTTTTTGGTACAAGATAAATTCGTTTTTTCCTATTTCATCTTTTTGTCACCTAAAATTTTTCATTTAAAACGAAAAAAAAATAGGCAACAAGATGCAGCGTGGAAAGCTGTACAATTTACATAAGACCGCTTTTTTTATAGCTGCAGTTCTCGCTTTCAAAATTGAATAAATTTCGAGCGACCAGATTTCTATGCTACGAGAAAGTCTTTTTTCACTACATGACTGATGCGTGTTTTTCTTATTTACCATCTAAAATCTTCTATTTAAAAAAAATAAAATATACCACGAGATGCAGCGTGAAGAGCTCTATAATTTACATAAAACAGCTTTTTTTATAGTTCCACTTTTTTGTTTTCAAAATTGACAAAATTCTAAGAGACTAAAATTCGACGCTCCGAAAACGATATTTTTTTGGCACATCACGAATGCGCTTTTTCTTATTTACCAACTAATATGTTTTATTAAAACAAAACCAAAGTACACCGCAAGATGCAGTGTGAAAAGCTCTACAAGTTATACAGAATAAGTGTAAAAAGATGAAACACGAAAAAACGAATTTATCTTGTACCAAAAAAAATATCGTTTTCGCACAGTTAATATTGGATCCTTCAAAATGTTGACTATTTTGAAAGCAAAAAGTGCAGCTAGAAAAAAAGCAGTCGTATGTAAATTGTAGAGCTTTTCACGCTGCATCTTGTGATATATTTTGGTTTTTAATACAATATATTAAGTGAATGAAAATTGGAATGCAAAACGCGGCCATTCAACCTGGTACACCCATTACTATCAAAACAATTATTTAATCTTTTTCAAAGAAAAAAATGATTCCATATGTTGAGAAGAAATGATTCGTGCCAAATTTGATCAACATTTAACAGTAGATTATGATGCGCTTTTTTAGGAAAAAAATCGATAATGTGTTAGTTAGATAGACGAATAAGTAAAAGTTGTTTTTTTTTCATATTACGCACGTAATGAATCTTACATTTTTTTGCTAACGCATGAAAAGAGAAGAGCAAAGGCAATTGCTTTAATACTCTTACATTAAAGAAACACGTGTAAATCATTAGATATGAAGTATAATAATATTTATGAAAATAGTTTTCACCTTGCGTTTCATGACGCTTGCATAAACCAATGATTTAAGGGGTTGTCGAAATTAGTGTAGTGAATATGCAGCAAGCTTTGATAATCGTTCAAGATGAAATTCAACGGATGGATTTAGGATATGTCCACGTTATTTGAAAAATTTAAATAAAGAAATCATCAACAATCACATCTATCTGTTCAAATTTTATTATTATAAAAAGTAGTAAACAGAAGAAAAAAACTCATTCAGACAAATATGATTGCATCGCGATTAAATTGGACTGAATCTAGTCATTGATAATAAATAACACAATATTATACACATTATTTCAAACTAGAATATACGGCCAATGATTTAGTCAAAAGAATATCAACTGTAAGAGTGTGAGTACGAGTTTGGTTGCTGTTCTCCACTTATAGACATCCATACCAACCCTTTTTCAAGCAATATACGAAACGTATAGTAGATGTAGATGCTCAAGAAAATGTGCTATTTTAAATATTGTATTATCATTCATTTAGTGAGCTAAAAAAGGTAGAAATCGTAAAAGGTTTCTAGTTTTTCACGTTCTTTTTCCTTTTTAAGAAAGAATGAGTTATGCCACTCAATGCAGGATAAAAGTCACAATGTTTGCTAAGTGAAAATTTTCATTAATGAAAGTCGTTGAAAAAATAGTGAAGATTTTTTTTTCTTCACGATATTCACCTCAAACTTGACAATAAACTAGACGTTTGGTATCAAGTTAAAATATTTTCCCTTAATTTTTTAGCAGTTGGTAGAGAATCAAAAGTTACAAAGCATATACAAAATTTACTCTGGGATGTTATGATTTCAATAAACGGCAGTAGATATACTTAGAAAAATAGAACTTCAATAACTAGTAATCTCTTATCATTTCCGCTATTTTTTTAATTTACTAAATGAATCATATACAATATTCAAAATAGCTCATTTTTTTACCATATACATCTGCTCTATCGTTTCGTATATTGCGTGAAAATGTTCTCACTTTTGATGGGAGAATCTTACTAAAGATTCATAAGAAAGTTAATAATTTATTTTAGTTCACAATAGGATGTAGTGCTAAAAGTCGATCAAGACTAGCTTCACTATAACAAATCCAAATTGAACTAAAAAGTTTAGTTCAGTAGTTTTAGATCTTGTAGTTTCGAATGTACATAAAAAAATCAAAAATTTAATTGCTAACAAATGCTTCTTATATTGGAATCATGTCCAATAATGTCGTGGACACTCTCTGAAATAATTCGTGTCATCTGTCCTCGTAACTTTGCGTGAAATATTAACATTTGTGACAGACAATCTGTTTCAAAGATTTTACGGTACTATATTTTATGTGAAAGCTACTTCAACCTAGACTATCAAATGCATAGACTGAATATTCACGATCGTAAACCTCTTAAAATTAGTTTGATATTGAAAAATTCGCGATATTTTTCTTTCGACATCTCTTATTGTCAGTAACTAATTTGTTTTGACTGTCAATTGTAAACTTATCATTTGTCTAATTATGTTAAAAATGAAACATACTTACATGGTGAGTGGTACTACAGTGACTGGTTATGTTTTCTGTTTCTATCCGTTTTCACTTGTTATTTATAACAAATAAAATCACCTGACTTTTTCCAAAATTTATTTGTTTGCATGTGTCACTCGACCTTCACTATTTCATCAAACTGACACTTCCTTTTTTTCTACGAGATTTTTATCACTTATTTTTCGTTCTTACGATGTTGTCTTTTTTTATGGCTTTCTTTTTCGTATAGTGTGTGTTAGCGTTCTCGCTCACGAAGAGCGACGAACACAGTTAACGTGTGTGTGTGTGTGTTTTATTCTCTCTGTTTATTCTGTTAGAAAACAAACGTTTATATAAGCACGCGAAAACAAAGAC